GTTCTCAGTGTCTATGCCAGAGTTTTTAAGGTTGGCTTTGAGCCCATATTTAAATCTCTTTTCCTGTCCACCGACATTCCGTTACTTTCAAAATGTACCTGTTCTGACTTACATACAAATTCAACTTGAGAACAAACCTATATAATCTTTTTTGTTTGTAACCAGGGGATTGCCTGTACTTGGAAAGCTTATAGCTTTTTTCCCAATTTAATGATTTATAGGCTGGAACAGTGCTACTCAAAGTGGTTTCTATGGACATATATGCTGGGTATGGTACTGGTCCCCTGCTTCCAGTAAAGAAAAAAAAGTTCTAGCTAATGGGCACAAGTATGATACAGGTCCATAAAAAAACACATCGGAAAACTCTCCATATCAGATAGCTTACAGAGAAAGTTTTGGCAGATACTTACATTAGACAACTGGAATGTATCTGAAATCTTGTTAAAAAGTGGTAAATATGTAAACATTATAATCCTTATGGGAGCATGAATATATGTCCAAAACCACAGTACCTAGGAAACCCAGAAATGTAATACTCTTTTTATTGTTTCAAAGGTAATTAGATCAACCGGTTTCATGAAAGGATTATACACAGAAGCAGAGATGAAATCTGATAATGTCAAGGTATGTCTGCATTCTCATTATTTCTTTAGGTTTTTTTTATTTAAGAAGTATTTCTCCTACATGCACACATCAGTCTCTTAAAGATGAATGTAATGACTGAAGGACTGTTTCAAAAATGCTAAATAGTTGCTATATTCTTAAATCAAAGATTATGTCACATTTAGATTGTAATTTATAGAAAAATCTAGAAAATGTTACCTAAAACTATATTGTTCTACAGGACAAAGATGCAAAAATCAGTTTCCTTCAAAAGGCAATTGATGTGGTCATCATGGTGACAGGAGAGCCTCTGGCAGTGAAACCGGCACGTGTTGTTGCTGGGCATGAACCTGAAAGGACCAATGAACTACTTCAAGCAATTGCTAAATGCTGTCTTAATGAGGTAGAATCTTAGTGTATTTCTGTAATCGTGGAAGTCTGATATGTCCAAATATTTTTTGTTAAGCTGATGGAAAGGCAAGTTGGTGGAGAGCAGTAAGCAGTTACTTAGAAACAAGACAGGTTTTGTATGTTTGTTTGTTCTTAAGTGGAATTTTATATGTAAGTGGGAACAGGTACATTTCTAAAGTGTAACTCCAGCCATATATTTATTTATTTTGCATATTTGTATCCCATCCTTCTCACCCCTGGAGGGGGATTCAGGGCAGTTTCACAACAGGCATTCATTCAATGCCAACAACAGTAATAAATGATAAAATTAATTAAAACATAGAATTACTAAAAAAACATTGTTTAAGTCACACAGGTTTGATATCATAGTCCAGGTCAGTCCATTGTCATTCACACAAATTCAGTCTCATTCTAAATTGTTGCCTCCACTGTTCAAACTCTTGGTCCCATAACCAGGTTTTGAGTTTCATTCTAAAGGTCAAGAGGGAGGGGACCAATCTAATGGGTAGAGAGTTCCATGGACGAGGGGCCACCACTGAGAAGACCCTGTCTCTCATCTCCACCAGTCGCGCTTGTGAGGATGGTGAGACCGACAGCAGAGATTCTCCCATCAATCTTAGACTTCACGATAGTTCATAGCAGGAAATATGTTCAGACAGGTAAGCTGGGCCAGAACTGTTCAAAGCTTTATAGGCTAAAGCCAGCACTTTGAATTGTGCTCGGTAGCAGATTAGCAACCAGTAGAACTGGCGTAGCAGATGGGTTGTGTGCTCTCTGTATGCCACTCCGGGGAGCAACCAGGCTGCCATCCATTGAAGTAGTTGGAGCTTCTGAACAGTCTTCAAAGGCAACCCCACATAGAGTGCATTGCAGTAATCTATTCAGGATGTAATGAGAGTGTGGGCCAGCATGGCAGAGAGTGTGGACCAGCGTGGCGCACAAGTTTTAATTGTGCAAAAGCTCCCCTAGCTACCACCGAGACATGGGGTTCCAAGCTCAGCGGTGAATCCAGGATCACTACCAAGTTGCGATCCTGTGTCTTCAAGGGGAGTGTGTCCTCGTCCAGCACAGGCTGTAATTCTATGCCTGTGCTTGGCCTTGCAACTGACCAGGAGGACCTCTGTCTTGTCTGGATTCAATTTCAATTTGTTCGTCCTCATCTAGACTGTTACACCTGCCAAGCACCAGTTCAGGACCTGAACACCTCTTTAGTAACAGATGGGAAGGAGTGATAGAGATGAACATTATCTGCGTACAAATGACAACTCACTCCAAAACTCCGGATAATCTCTCCCAGTGGCTTTATGTAAATGTTAAACAACATAGGGGACAATACTGATCACTGCAAGACTCCAGAAGTCAATGATTGTGAGGTCAAGCAGGTGTTCCCCAGCAACGTTCCAGAAGGATACCGTGGTCAACGGTATCTAAGGCTGCTGAGAGGTCCAGCAGGCACACACTCCCCTGTCCAGCTCCCAGCATAGATAATCTAAGGCGACGAAGGCTGTTTCGGTACCATGTCCAAGCAAGTCTGTGCCCGGTCTAGATAATCAGTGTCTTCCAAGAACACCTGAAGTTGGGAGGCAACCACATGTTGCCCAAAAAGGGGAGATTGGAAACTGGCCAAAAGTTATTCAATTGGGTGGGGTCCAATAATTATTTATTTATTTGACCAGTCATGTGACAATTTCAAAATACAACACAGGCAAAAAGGTGAGGACAGCAGCTGACCTTCTGTTTACAGTCAGAGTCTTATTTTCCTGGTTCTTCTTTCAGGAAATCTGCTCTTTTCTTGATAGCTTTCAGAATAAAAAGGCTTACTCTGATTATGGTGGATCTTTCCTGTCCTTGCAAGAGGGATGTCAGAAGATCATTTCTATTGGGGGACCTGCAGTTGGATTATATTGGATGTAAATATCTGTCTCGCAATTCAGTATATGCTGGACAGTCAATTAAGAAATGTTCAATATCTTCCACAGTTTGTTCTCCCCATATGCAGAATCTCTTAATTCTTGGGATGCTACAGTAACACCCAGTTTGCATCATAATACCAAGTTGTTCAAAGCTAGCCCTAGTATATATTCTTCTTAAGGGTAGTGGAAGTGGAGTAGTTAGATAGTGTTCTAAATGAATATTCCCTTTGTGGGAAGCCAAAAACCTTGTAGCAGAAGACCTACCTATGCTTGTGAGGTCCAGCTGAGCATAGATATCTCAAGTGCGTTACATGAACACTTGTTTTGCTTAGGACCTAGATCGTTCAGAAATTGTAGAGGCAGGTCAATTTTAGCCAACTCATTATTTAGATCCACTATCCATGATGACTTTAGGTCATGCTGGACTTGATCCTCTAGACCAGTGGTTCTCAACCTGTGGGTCCCCAGGTGTTTTGACCTACAACTCCCATAAATCCCAGCAAGTTTACCAACTGTTGGATTGCTGGGAGTTGAAGGCCAAAACATCTGGGAACCCACAGGTTGAGAACCACTGCTCTAGACATAGGTGAGGAAGTCTACTGGGATTCAGACAGTTTACTTTTGACCAATAATTAAACTGTCTCATTAAGATTTGAGCTTTTACTGGGGGCATTCCTAGCTCCATCCTTACTGCTGCCATCAGCATTGTTCTGGAAAGGCCCAGGATGGTGGGAAGCTGCTTAACTTGGAAGGCTTCGATCTTGGCCAAATTGATGTGCCCCCAAATTTCGGCCCCAAATATAAGTGTTGGCATTATTTTTGTCTTAAAGACTTCCAGGGCAGGTCTGATTGTGCCTGGGTATCTATGATGGTACAGCTTTTTAATGGAACCTGCTGCTTTCATTGCTCTTTGTATACTATGAGTAATGTGGTTAGTCCAAGCACCAGATGAAGAGAACATAATGCCTAGATAGGGTCCAATGATGTTTTTTTTCAACAGCGGTTTTATTCCAGCTTCTTTTAAGCTGGCTGGAATCTTGCCTTCCTCTAAGGAAGTGTTAACCACCATCTTCACCCTCTCTGTCAAAACCCCTCTGGTTTCCTTTACTAGCCAGGATGGGCAGAGGTCTTGGATGCATGTAGTTGCTCTTGCCTCTCCAAGAATCTTGTCCACATCCTTGAGCTGCACCAATTGAAATGAATCTATCAAAACCAGACAAGCAGGTGCTCATGTTACATCCTCAGAGATGGAGTCCAAGCCAGAGCAAATCATAGTGACTTTGTCTGCAAATAAATGAGCAAATGCTTCACAACGGGCTACCAAGTTGTCAGGGATCCCATCTTGGGAGACGGGATTTAATAACCCTCTGACTACTCGGAACAGCTCCGCCAAATGGTTCCTTGCGGACCCAATATTGGCTGCAAAGAAACATTTCTGTGCAGCTTTTATTGCCACAGTGGGCAGAGGTCTAGGATCTATGTGCTCACTCTCACCTCTTCAAGGTTCTTGTCCACATCCTTGAGCTGCACCAATTGAAATGAATCCATCAAAACTGGACATGCAGGTGCTCATGTTATATCCTCAGAGATGGAGTCCAAGCCAGAGCAAATCATAGTGACTTTGTCTGCAAATAACTGAGCAAATGCTTCACAACAGGCTACCAAGTTGTCAGGGATCCTGTGACGATGTGTAAATTTTATTTCTTTGGTTATGTGTAGTTTGGACAGTGGTTTAGGGATGGTAAGTATGGGAGATTATGTTTTGTGGGAGAGGGTGGCTTGGTGTTAGCTGAGTTGCCATAGCAACAGGGGCGGAGCTAACGGCCTCTTCAGGAGGTAGCTGTTTTAAAAAGCCAGTTGTAAGCCGGTGAGCTACAGGAAGGGACTGATTTCTCTAGTGGGAGAAACAGGGAATTAGTCAGTACGCCAGCGAGCTACTGAGTGGACTGAATCTTTTGGTGGAGATTCAGGGAATGTGTCTGTAGCCAGTGTGCTATAGGGAAAGACTGAATCTCTTGGTGGAGATTCAGGGAATCAATTGGTGACCAAGTGGTTGCAGAGAAGGACCCGGTACAGGGTTGTTGATTCTGAATTAAGAATCAAGGTTTGGCTGGGTTTAAGCCTGTTGTGCCAGCTGTGAAACCTTATGAAGTGTTTGCCTGAGTTTACTCATGAAACCTTTCCAATGTATCCATCAAGATTTGTGCCTCTTTTGAAGAACAGTTATACATTGTTATACTCCTGTTAAATAAACTTGTTACTGTTTTCCTCAAGCCTTGCCTGATACAGTTTCTCCTAAGTTGAACAGCCTGCAATAGTAAAGTCAAGCCAAGAAAGTAAACGCTACGCTATCAAGTGAATAAAGCCTTCTGTAATTAACAGTCCCTTTATAAAATAGCTCCTAGGTTGATATTGATCGTTGCCCGGCTTCCCTCATAGATTAGGTGGCAGTGGGTGCTTTACCACGCGCACCTTCACAATTGGTGGCATTCGGTGGCATTAAAACGGTCATCGTTACAATTGGTGGCAGCAGTTTAACAACTCCTTCACAGATCCCATCTTGGGAGACGGGATTTAATAACCCTCTGACTACTCGGAACAGCTCCGCCAAATGGTTCCTTGCGGACCCAATATTGGCTGCAAAGAAACATTTCTGTGCAGCTTTTATTGCCACAGTGTATACAAATACACAGTGCCCTTAGGTAGGCACCTACCTGTGTTTGGTTTGATTCACTAGGCTTTGTACGCCACACTCACTCTAGTCTTCTCTTCACACACACTCACATACAGAAATATATATACACACACACAAACACACATGCTTTGGATAGCTGAGAAATAGACATAAAAGAAAACATGAACAGGAATATTTGAAAGCCTGGAACTCCATACTGAGATACTAGAAACACTAAAGCCTCATTGTAGTCTTTAATCTGAAGATTATATATATGACAGGATAGGGGCACTGTATTCCTCTATGGGATAGTGCTAGATAGTGGTAATGCAGGGGAAATCTGCAGCCTAGTGGCATGTGTGTTTATCTAGAAGTAAGTTACACTGAATTCAGTGTACTCCATGGTAGGCATGGTTTTGGCTGTAGGTAGCTAGAGGTAGCTGGAATTTTTACTCCATGGTAGGCATGGTTTTGGCTGGAGGTAGCTAGAGGTAGCTGGAATTTTTATTCTTGTTTTATTCTTGTTTTAAAGCATCAGCATGTGTGTTACAGAAACAGACATTGCTGTTGTGAGTTTAAACTATACAGTACATTTTTGCTTGCATTTTCTCTTTATAGCTATCCAGTGATGAAGCTGTTCAAAAAGTTCTTGCTGGAGAGAAAGCAGATCTCAAAGGAAATACTTCGTCATCTTCTAAATCCCAAAATAAAGAATCTAGATCAGAAGACTATCGATCCCATAAAGAGGTGCTGTGAGCCATCTTTTAGATAAAGGAACCTTTTTTCTTGTTACATGGAAAACAAGGGGAAATGTTATTTGCAGTTTAATATTTTTCTATTTTATTTAGGGAAGAGGTGACTCCGAAATAAAAGAAAGAGGCCCACGCCAAGACCAAAAATCCAAAGAAGAGTTCAAAGAGGAAGAGTGCAAGAGAAAAGAAAAAGAAAGTGACAAACCTAAAGAATATACAAACCATCAAAAGAATCCTGAAAAAGATCGTTTTAAAGACAGGGAAAAGCATGAAAGAGAGAAAACTAAGAACAGATCTTCCAAACAGGGCAGAGAGACAGAAAAGATCAGGGACAGAGAAAAAGGAGAAGGAGCTAAAGAGGAACATGACAAAGAAAGGGATAGAGAAAGGAAACAACATGATGGAGGAAGAGAAAAAGACAGACTAAGAGAAAAAGACAGGGAAAGAGAAAGGGGTAGGGAGAAGGATAAAGAACACGAGAAGGTCAGAGAAAAGGGAAAGGATAGAGAAAAAGACAAACGAAAAGAGCGAGGCAGAGACACGGAGCAGTCACGAGAACAAGGAAAAGCCAAAGATAGAAAGGTAAAGCATTTTTTAAAGCATGGAAATTGACTATTGCTAGAAACTATGCTTAACAATTTTGTGTATTTCTAAATGTGTACATTATCTAAACTTAATTTTAGTTTATATTCAGGAAACCCATTCCCCCCTCAATATCTGTAGTATTTACAGGAAATTGATAAATCACACTGATATTTTGTAAGGCAAACATCAGATAAACGGAAAATATATTATCATTATATTAGGGTAGTTATGTATTATATTTATATCTTTCACTGATTTTTTTATTTCAAATTACTGTTTTAATAAGTTGTGAACTGAGTTCCATTAATGGGGAAATGGCAGCATATTAATAAATCAAATAACAAAAATAGCTGAAGAAACAATTTCCAACTTGCGTATGGCCATTTGTTTTCTGAAATGTTAGTCATCATATCACTGAATTATTTTGAACATTTTGTCATCAAGAGATTTTTTTTAATTGGACCATGCCATACAAACTGAATTTATTCCCAGTTTTTAATAGTAGTGGTTCACAATGCAAACCTTGAGACCAGAATTACATATCCATATTTGACCTCTCTGTCTGGATTAATTTTTTAGAGAGTTATAAGAAAAATAATACTAAACATTTCAAAGATTAAATATATACACATTTTCTTTCTTTAGGCCACAGGAAGTGAGGAGAATGTGATTAAAGCGTCAGCAGAACGATCTGAAAAAGATAAAGATAGTGCGGAGCCAGATAAAGAAGTAAGGAATAAAAATAATTTGCTGGTGACGGTAGTTTCCTATTACTATATTCCTGTAAACAAGTGCAAATGAGTACACTGGACTCTTGGTATTCACTCGGGTTCTGTTCCTTGTTGTTAACAAAGCCAACATATTTCTGGGTATTAATTTTTTTAATAAGATACGTGGGGCGTTCATTAAAGATTTCCCCTGACCCACTTCTATTTATCACAGGACACTGAAACTGCACATGTGTAATATATACATCTCTAATGGTTACGTGCCAATTTACAACTCAGAACGTGGTGTGAGGTTTGATAATGGACCCAGTGGAATACAAGCGCAGTCATCAAGTTCCTTTATTTGAAAGGCCGCACACCAAAGGAGACATTTGATGGGATGAAAGAGGTGATGATTCCCCATCATACACTGCAGCCAAGAACTGGCATCGTCCATTCAGATGTGGTCAGACTCCAATTCCAGGGCAACCTCATTCTGCTATTGAATAATAATAATAATAATAATAATAATAATAATAATAATAATAATAATCTTTATTTATACCCCGCCACCATCTCCCCCAACGGGGACTCAGGGCAGCTTACATGTGGCCAAGCCCAAACAGCAAATTACAATACAGTAAAATACAATAAAATAAAAACCGAAACGCAAGCAACAACAGTAAAATACAAAAACATGATGAATACAATAAGCAATGAAAGCAAAACATAAGAATGCAATGAACAATTACAATAACAGTGAGCGGGCCGCATGTATAATAAAATGATTTAAAAACTCAGGGTGAGATAAAAGGAGCAGATTAGTTGCAAGGGAGAGCTCATAGGGAAACGGGGTAGAAAACAGGCCTTCGTACAAGGGGGAGGTGTACTCCAAGGACAAAAGCTTTGAGGCGAGCAGTAGCATAAGGTTGTATGGCTACTCTCCCAAAGTGCAGCGGCAGAGCCAGGTCTTGAGATTCTTTTTAAAGTTTTCTAAGGTAGGGGCTTTCCTAATCTCTCCGGGCAACGAACACACCACCCAGCAAGTGGGGAGTTGCCATTTTGGAAAATCGCTGTGTAACTATTTTATTGATTGATTGATTGATTGATTGATTGATTGGACTTGTATACCACCACTCCCAATTTGGCTCGGGGTGGTTTACAGCAGTAGATTAAAAACAATACAACCAACTTTAAAATACAATAAAAATGAGAACAGACATAGTCCCGAGTTATTCACCCATCAAAAGCTTGTCGGAAAAGAAAGGTTTTACAGGCTTTCCGAAAAGCAAGTAGCTCTCGGATGGTTCGGGTTTCAACTGGCAAGGCATTCCATAAATAAGGGGCCACAATTGAGAAGGCTCTCTGCCTAGTAGAGGACAGATGATAAGTCCGGATGTTGGGGACTTCAAGCAAATTTTGGTCTTCAGACCGAAGTAATCTCTGGGGTTGGTAGGGGGATAAGCGGGCCCTCAGGTATGCCAGCCCCAGACCATATAAGGCCTTAAAGGTTAGTACCAGCACCTTGAAAGTGATCCGGTACTCAATCGGAAGCCAGTGCAGCTGTTGTAGAATTGGGGTGATACGACACCTCGCCGGCACCCCGGCGAGAAAACGAGCCGCCGCATTTTGCACCAGCTTCAGTTTCTGGATCACTGACAAAGGAAGGCCAATGTAGAGGGTGTTACAGTAGTCAAGCCTCGAGATGACCGTCGCCTGGATCACCGTAGCCAGGTCATTCCTAGATAGGTAGGGAGCCAGTCGCCTAGCCTGACACAGATGGAAAAACGCAGATCTGCTCACAGCAGAGACCTGGGCCTCCATTGTGAGCAGAGGGTCCAATAAGACACCAAGACTTTTTACAGAAGGTGACGGACGTAGTGTCTCGCCATCCAGGGTAGGCAGCTGGATCTCCCTCCCACCCGGACGGCCCAGCCAAAGGATCTCCGTCTTCGCTGGATTCACCCTCAACCTGCTGGCACGCAACCATCCAGTAACGGCCTCAAGGCACTGATGGAAATTTTCGGGTACGGAGTCCAGCCGGCCCTCCATCCTCAGAATGAGTTGAGTGTCATCAGCATACTGGTGGCACTCAAGCCCAAAGCTCTGCACCAGTCGGGAAAGCGGTCGCATATAGATGTTAAATAATAGAGGAGAGAGAATAGCTCCCTGCGGGACCCCGCAAGTTAGCGGAGATCTCTCGGAAACCATCCCTCCCCTCACCACACGCTGTCCCCGATTCTGGAGGAAGGAGGACACCCATTTAAGGGGTATCCCCCTAACCCCAGTCATGGCTAGGCGGTGGGTCAATAGATTGTGATCGACCATATCAAATGCTGCTGTGAGGTCCAATAACCCAAGCAGCGCTGATCTGCCTTGATCCATCTGGCAGCGGAGCTGATCTGTGATGGCAACTAGCACAGTCTCCATCCCGTGCCCCCTATGGAAGCCGGACTGGAAGGGATTGAGTCCGGCTGTTTCATTTAGGAACTGCTGCAACTGTTCTGCTGCTGCCCTCTCAACCACCTTGCCCAGAAATGGAAGGTTCGAGACTGGGCGGTAGCTAGAGGGAACCGAACGATCTAAGTCTGGTTGTCAAGATTAGTTTGGGGTCCATGTGAAAAAAATCATCTTCACATGCATAAGGTATCTGCTCACTGGGTCACCCGGGTGTTCACATCTTTCCAGAGCAGGAACAAGTTGAATGCTCTCTGGCTCTATTGACGATGTGCCATGGAAATCAGGGAGACTTTTTCAACAGACTGATCACACAGGATGAAAGCTGGGTCCATCACTATGATCCTGAGACCAATCAATGCAATGGAAACATCACGACTCACTGCCTCCAAAAAAAGGAACATGCCCAATTCTAGGCAGGCACGGTCATGCTCACAGTATTTTGGGACCAGCACATAGTATTGATGGATTTCCTAGGTACCATGATCTATGCTTTACTGCTGAGGAAATTGCGAAAGGCCATCAAAACCAAGAGACTTTGCTGTCATTCTCAGCAAAGGTGTCCGCCTTCTGCAAGGCAATGCACTACTTCATAACTTAATGTTGCCCAAATGGAAGTATGCTCCTGTGGCTTTGAAATTCTACCGCGCCCCCTTTATTCACCCGACCTCACACCATTGGACTTCCACCTCTTTCCAACAGTGAAGTTATTTTTGAACGGCAAGCATTTTTCAGATCACGAGGCTCCTCCCTAAACTACAAACCCCAGAATACTCCAGGATGCAGAAACCAGGTTTAAAGTGGATTCATTATCTAGTGTAATGAGGTAATATGTATCTCTTACCCTTTAACTGACCTCTTCTTCCTATTTCGAAAAAGGTATAGCCCTGATCCCATCTACATCTAATCAATGGTATCGTATACAGTTGGCCTTTCATATCCGTAGATTTGACCATCCACAGCTTAAAAATATTCTTGATTTTGCCATTTGTACAAAAGGACACCCTTTTACCATGCCATTGTATATAATGAGGCTTGAGCATCCATGATCTTTGCTATCCACAGAGGTTCTGGAACCAAACCCCAGCAGATACCAGGGTCCCAATATCTCCTTCTGAAATTAACTACGACCATATAAAATTAATTACACTGTCATATAAAATCCTGATTATCTGCCTTGTACTCAATTACATGGCAGTGTGAACTCAGATAATCTAGTTCTCACTGTGGATTATCAGCTTTGATAATCTGGATTATATGGCAATTTAGAAGGGGCCTATGCAGTATCTCTCCAACCATTTGTAAAGAAGTTCAAACAACACTGATAGTGCTTCATTATATTTGAAAACTGTGTATCTGTGACTGTTATCATTGCATATTAGGGCAACAGAAGTACATTGAAAATTGTGGATAATTGGCTTTTCTCATGCATTTTTTTCAAGAGTGAAAATACAACAAGATTATCAAGGCATCATTCAACCAAGGGGCCGAGACAACGAGATAAACCCGGAGGTGAAGGTAACTGAAACAAGACTTCCTTTTATTGTTACAGATCTCTCATTCATAGGGTCGCCATAAGTCAGATTTGATTTCATAGCAGTTGACAACAATAACAACAAAGCACAGCTACTGCTGAGGTGGTAATGCTACTATATCTGCAAACTACTGATACCATGGCACACACTTTTATTAGCTTTAAGAAATAGCTCCAAACCATACAAATAAATACCTTTTCCTCATTTTAGAATCATTGAATGATTTTTAAACTAGTAATTGTGCATATCTTGCTGTGCATTTTTTCATGTCAGGACGAAAGGAAGCTACTAAAACCTTATCTAGTCATTCTATTGAAAGAACAGGTAGCATATTGAAAGAGAAATTTCAGCAAGCTGTTAAAGCACAGGAGCCAGGTAAGGAAAAGCAAAGCTGTCTTGCTTGATCTTTTAGTGAGAAATATCTGTTAGATATTGATAATTAAATAGCATAGTCATACAGTAATGGGACTTTAATTTTAACCAGTATGATAATATAATTTCTATACAAAAGCTTTCTTAAATATTTTTGAATCCGACAAGAATGATTTTGAGTAGTCATTGAGACTAAGCTAAAAATTGAAGAAGAAAAAAACTATAGTGCATATCTGTCAGAAGCTCACTTCATCTGGTTTATTCCTTTTGTGTAGAATAGAGTTGACTTATGCTATCTATAGACATCCTGTCATGGGTATTAGTATCATTGAGTTTAAGTGAAAAGTGTAGACTGGGTTTAGAGCAGAAATTTGTCTACTTTGTCAGTGGCAGATAGATAGGAAAACAAAGTGCTGACTTGTTTAAAAATCCAGAATACCCCAAAATAGAAACATTTTGCTGCCAGCCTACTAGTTCCACTTTGGGAAAAGGGAACTAGTCCATATCGAGTGCAAAGTTTTTCCTCAAGGAGCCTGATGATGGAAAGAGAAATGGGTAGACTCTGCTTATGCAAGGCCCATGTAAAAAGATGTTTCAGATTCTTCTGCATTTGATTTCCACTTGGCCAATGGCAGCATGCATCAGGTCAGAATGGACACCCTAAAAACATGAGGGCATTTGCAAAGTATAGAGAGGTGTGTTATTTATTTGGGGGGAATAAAAATTAATCCCAAACACACACCAGAACACCACTTAAGATTGGAATGGCGCTTCTGAGATTTACAAGCCCCAAAACTCAAATAGGCTGATGATAGAAAGCAGGTAACTTTCCGCCTGGCCGAAACAAACCCTATTTGAAAGCACACTGGCACACACCAACTTAGTGCTGATATGCCCTTGGCTTATTTGAGTTAACTTGCAAAAGAGTGTGATTGTGTTAGCCCTCAGGCTTGTGTTACTGAGGTACCCTTTAAAGTTATTTCTTTAAAAACATACGCTGCCACAATTAGTTCTTGAACACTGTTTAAAGCTGCTTTTGAAGTCTTTAAGCACAGAGGCACACTTGAGTCAGTTGTGATGAAACAGGAACAATAAAGTTTATTAATAAGAACAGGAACAATGCAGGTACTATCTTGGCTGTTACAGAGATTTGTCTTGAAAGCGTAATGGTTACAAAAACAGTTCTGACTTTGTTACTCAAGAAACTCTCCTCTCTCCCTCCAAAAACAATCCTGCCAGGATAGTTTCTCTGACAGAAATTCTTCAGCAATACAGATAGTCCTCACCTGGATCTATCCTACTACTACTCATCTATCCTCCCAATAGCCTGTAAGTCTTCACTAGCTACCCTGCTAGCAAACTCTGGCCAATCTCAGGCCTTTTCTACTAACCCGCTACACCACAATTCTTCTAAACACCCTCTCTCTTTAACACCCAGGTTCGAACTCCTGACAGGGATTTTAAAAGCTTTTTAAAGTCTGCTTTAACTAACCCCCCCCTTCCAGGAAATGAATGACAAAATGGAGTCCTGTCGACTCCTTGAGCCTACAATTTTCCTAGTCCTATTCTAAGCCGAACTGGAAGTAGATTCATTACACAGAACAACCCATTTGCTGCTGCATGTGTCCATCCAGTGTAGAATAAAGAAGATTCATGTAACTGATGCCTTTTTTTAAAGGGCAGAAAGCATTTGGGATGACTGCTTTTTATTTTTCAAAGAGACGACGTCCCCTTACAATAAATACGTAAGTCTTCACTTGAGGGATTTATCTCACTGATCATTTACAACCATACCGGCACCAGTCTTTCGCACCGGATGTGACCGTGGTTGCCTGTCTTAATCATCTCGTAACGCAGATAGATGACTACACAACTTATAGTCACTCCCTTATCCAGCCTAGCTACTACCAGGAAGCTGCCTTCGCAACAATTGACTCCCTAGCAACCGGTGCCCTGGACCGCTGTCAACCGTCGTCGACTACAAACTGAAAACTAAAAATCCAGACAAGACAGAGGTGAAACTCCCCCTGAGTCAGCATCTGCCGAACGGGCACCTACGAAAGAGGCATCCCCCGAACCCTATAGGGTTCTCACAACCTGTGACTGGCGATGGCTTCGGGTTCACGCCTTCGCACATCCCCTATGAAAGGCACAGCTGTTCGCCCCCCTACAGCCCCTAGCGTTAAGAAGGATCGTGACACATGGATTCAATCGCTTGCAGCCATGGATCCCCAGCGTTTCAGCGCCGAATGACCAGGGCGAGCATTTTGCATCAGCCTCCAGGCACTTCCGTGCCGACACAGCAATCCTGCGCCCGCTAAATCTCGGGAGTTGAACAAACCCCCCTCTGGCGCAAACATGAAGTCTGACATCTGCTCCACGACAGTTTAACAGTGTTTGCGTACACGACTTCAATGGTCAACATAACCGCCTTGCACCATAATAGCAACGCCCTCTCTAACGGTGGAGCGGGCTAGCCCTCGAGACGGCCCGGAAGCCTTCTAGCTGGATGGATTCAGCGATGCCCCCCGCTCCCCCCCCCCCCCCCCTTCAGGCACAGCACATGATTTACTAAATGCGAGCGCATTCGTTTTCCCTCGCTCTCTTGAAGAATAACTAGGGCACCAGATCCACACAATGCGGCCCTAACTGTATTGTACCAGCTCACACTAGGCTAGCCGATCTGCCCTAATACGGCCAGGCCAATTTAAGGTGCTAGGTTCTATGGCCCATACAAAGCCCTAAACCGGCCCTCGCGCCCAAAATACCTGCGACCTGACACCGCCCCAGCATCTTGGCCTTATGCACGCAACATACTGAGGAGTCCTTTTATAGAGATCGTCTGGGAGGCGAGGCCCCTTCTACTCGATACCCGACCTCGCCTCCTCACTGACGGTACGTAATCTCTGGCGAGAGAGGTGCCTAATTCTCAAGGTGGCTGGCACCCCCCACCAACCCCGCGACTGCCTAGAGAAAACTGTCTCAACCTGCCAGACATCAGACAGCAGCCACACTGCTCCTCACCTCATGTCCTTCCGAAAAAGGCCGGTAATGACATGCCTACTCCCTCGCTATCAATAGCTAGTGGTTAAAAGCCTAGACTCGAGTAACTAGGCCCCATTACACAAATCAAAAAACCCAATACACAGGAGTAATAGTCGATCGATTGGTGTATGATCTATCCAATGATGAGATAAGCAAGCGCGAGTGTTTTGAATAAGACCACCATTAGTGTACACTGCTTTAGTATAATGTGCTTAATACTCACTGCTTACTAAATATGATATGTCCTTTAGGCAGCTGCGTCATGGGAGTTGTTGGGCATTGACCCATGCTTAATTTTAAGGTAAAATTGCCCTATTTTATTGTATGGATCGACGTTTACTCACCGCCATGATGGTCCAGCCCCTACAATTAGGGCATCCTTTAACCTGTTGTCCACCGCCATGAGTCGCCCTAAAGGGCTGAGAATGGCGGTTAACAAATGCACCAAATAAATAAATAAATAAATAAATAAATAAATATTGGCTTGGGGAATGCATGGTGAATAAATACAAGATAATAGCCTTCAAGCAGAAGCCGGCAAGCTGTTAAAATACTCAGAATAATTCTTTTTTGTCATTGTCATAGTCAGATTCAATGGATGAGGAGATCGGATTGTGATTTTACTGATGAGACGTGACGGATTAGTTATTGGATGTATTGATGTTTGTTCATTTACTGATGTATTGTTGTATTGTTTTAACTGCTTTAGTGATTGTTTAGATGCTAATGCTATGCACTTTGTATATTGTCCTGTTGTAAACCGCACTGAGTCGCCTACGGGCTGAGATAGTGCGGTATACAAATAAAGTAAATAATAATAAGATCCAATGGTCTTTGGTTTATTATTATTATTATTCATTAAACTTTATTTATACCCCGCTACTATCTCCCCAAGGGACTCGGTGCGGCTTACATGAGGCTGAGCCCACAATACCCTCCCTGCTCAATGTCTTTTTCCTTTATCACCCACCCCACCCCAGCCCCACCCTTCACACAAGCCCTCTCAGTCACATAGCTGAGGTTCATCAACAAGGCTTGATCAACTGCTTGTTTCTCTTATATTAGTATTAATAGAGTATTCTGTCTTCAGACCAAGAGTAGTCCTCTGATTCCTTCACACTTTTTCACTTCCCCTCCTTCCCTATCTTCTCTATCAAGGCTCCTTGAGGGAAAAATCAACAGGCACTTGGGCATGCGACTAACCCTCTTTCCCTCTGTCCCTCAGTTACCACATATATGCAAATACAGTGAAATCTCAACTTACAAGCGCACCAACTTATGCGTTTTCTGAAATACAAGCCGCCTCTTTTTCAGTTTTTGGCTTTGAAATGTAAGCTGAGATCTGAGTTATTAATTCCCTCCCCAAAGTCCTCCAGAGAGGTCTTAAAGGCTGCTGCTGCCACCTCTGCATTTTAGCTGAGACAGGGCACGAGAATAATAATAATATAATAATAAACCTTTATTTGTACCCCGCTAGCATCTCCCAGAGGACTCGGTGCGGCTTACAAGTGGCCGAGCCCAAATACATCAGTAAAAACACAACAACAGCAATACAACAAAATGAACTCAAAACAAAGCAATAAACATTAACAAAACACCACGACGCATTATTTTCCATGGCAGGGCCAAATGCAATAGTTAAAATTAAAAATATGCTGGGCATGACCAGGTGAAAAGGGTAGGTATTTGGAGGGGGAGGGGCATGCATATATCCTGGGTCTCTAGTAAAGTGCATTTGGGGACCTGTTGCTTGGAGTTTCCTTATTCTGGGAAGGCAAACTGGAACAACCACGTTTTCAAGCTCCTCGTAAAAATTGCTAACGTTGGGGCATGCCTGATGGGGAGATAGGGAGACAGTTCCAGAGTCGAGGGGCCACCACCGAGAAGGCCCTGTCCCTCATCCCCACCAATCGCGCTTGCGATGCAGGTGGGATCATGAGCAAGGCCTCTCCAGATGA